GGTCAGTTACACAAGTGCATTAAGGAAGGATTTGCTTCCGTGCCTCTGCTTGCATCCCATATAATTACCTCCCTTTTTTGTTCGCGGATAGGAATACTTTTCTTCTCAGAAAGCAATCACTCAATTTGATGATAGGCTTAGGCACAAGGAACCTGTATCCTTTCTTCTCGTCCTTTGTCGAACTCAATGCACATGTGGAATTTAGAATCTTAAAACATTTTAATGTGTTACGCAATTCTACATCGGAAAGATTGCCTTTATCCCTTTCAAGGTAGTCGGTGTTTATAATAAATCCCGGTGAATGTGTAACACAATGATTGCCACAGTGTATTTGTGGAAGGGTTTTCTGTAATTTGACTTAAGTATCACTGATGTGATTCTAACATTAGACAATTAGTACCGTTAAAATAATCACTTGGTGATTTCATTGAAACAGACGGAGGAAAACAATTGAACAATTGATGTTGAATTAGATGAGCTTTAAGATGCCGACATGGGAATTTGAGGTCCAAACTTAGCCAAGTCGGAGCATGACGATTAGACAGTGTGTTTTCTGTAATAGTGAGTGAGTAAGTGAGTTTAGTTTTACGCCGCTTTTAGCAATTTTCCAGCAATATCACAGCGGGGGACAACAGAAATTGGCTTCACACATTGTACCCATGTTGGGAATAGAACCCGGGTCTTCGGCGTGACGAGAGACCGCTAAACCACAAGGCTACCCCACCGCCCCAATCTTCTGTATTATAAACATTGTAACTTATGGCCTGGACCAGGTGCAAATGTTTTACTACGGTGAGTAAATGCTTATTTTTTGCTACCCTAAGCAAATGCGGTCGTATGAACGCATAGCAAATTTACTTAGGGTGAGTATTGTTTTAGAAAACCCTTTTCTTTATATCCAGTGGTTCCTCAACTGTATGATCAAAGGGAGAGCTCATCCTTCCGTCAAATGCAGATTAATTCATATGTTTCTCGCCGCATTCTAAATGTTTCCACATTCGGCATCAGTGATACGGTCACCAACAACTTCAGCACCAAAGACTTGATGTTTGCTTTCTTCTAGAATTTCAGTCATGCGAACATCCAAGCATCAGACCAACACTGATGTAATAAGAGAAATGCCTGTGTCCGCCCATTAGTCAGACAACCCATCAGTTGGACACTTTAAAAAAACCTAATTACACGGTTGAGTGAACAAATTTTGGATGGCTGTTACCCCTGGGAAAATGGACTAATCCAACTTTTACCCCGTTAGTCAGACATAAAGAGATGATTGAGATTAGATTAGACCAATTTCATTATCTTTTGTATATTATTTACCCACATTCAACATCTTTTGTAATTTTCATTATATTTGGCACTGTCATAATATCACACGAATATAAGTAAAATCGTCACATTCACTTGCACTACAGGCATAGTATGGAGGTGCAAAGTCAAATTCAGCCAAGCTCCACGAGCTTTCTAACAGCATCCAAATACTGCACTGGAGTCTTGCTTCTGTGCTCCTACTGCTCTCACAATCGGCCAAGTCGGTGGTTGATCTCCCTGTAAACCTTCTTGCGTGGCCCAGGAGCTGCACCGAAGTCAATCTGGATGATCTTCAACTTGTCGGCCTTCTCAGTCTTCTTGAGAATCTATATCAGTCTGAAGACATTCGGGTGACGAGTCGAAAGGTTCAGACGGCTGTTAAATCCCTCAAGGCAGTTGCTGGTCCTCGGGCCGAAGGTCTCATGATGGTTCCACAAGGACAGCCTAAACAGAGTCATCATCCCCGGAGTGACCATGTAGTCGTTGAAGGCATAGGCCCTGGGACATCAGGGCAAGTGTTCATACATCAATCCAAGTCACCCTGGACGATTGCAAGAGGAAGCAGAGGCGAGGCAGGTGCACTACGAATCCGCTTCTCAACTTCGGGGTCGTCGCGGTGGCTTTGAACGAGTTCGAGGGCTTGCACCTTGCGCCATTCTGCCGACATACTGTGCATGTCTTGACAGTGCATCTCCAGTGCAGACAAGTCGTCCTCTTGTTGTTGTATACATGGCGATCAAAGAGCACCTGAATCGTGCCTCTCTACGATGTGATGACTCTTTCTGCAAACCCGCCGTTATTGTGCAGTACAGACATTTTGGGAAAACTGAGTTGAGTCAGTCAATTTCTTTTTCATATTTTTTATTGATTTACTCACAATAATGATTAAGCCACACTATCAACTATGCACAAGAAGAAGACTCTTAATATTATGTGAGTAGATCAATTAAAAGGGATTAAACTTTAAAGTCAATGCTGACTATGGGAGTTTGTTCTTATTGTGCTAGAGATAAGCCAATTAGGCCTATTCCATTATCAATGTAGGTGAGCACTTGGTCAACCCCAACTCTACTGTCTAACTTGTGCGGTGTCTGACTATTGAGGTATCACCGGGAAATGCCAATCCCTTCTTGATATCCCACATCTTACTCCATCCAATTCTAGGGCAGAATAATCTATCATCAAGATTTACTACCACTTTGCTTACAGAACTTAAAGTCCGTATGAACGCACAGCAAATTGCACACTCTAGCAAATTGCACACCCTATGTATTTTTACTCATGTATGCAAATTTGCACATGTGTATATTTTCGCCGTATAAACAAGCCTTTAGATATCCCTTAGCCTTAGATATCAAAGATGTGAAATACACAATGCCATTTCAGAAAGTGGTCAAATGTAACATATGTTATATTTGGGATTACACTTTCCTAGTAAAGTACAGATTCTAGTACTCAGAGTCAGGCACCTAATCGCCAGCACACAAAGTCGGACGCCTAGACCGCTCAGCCACCGCGGCTTTCACAAAAATGGAAGTCGGATAACTGGTAGTCTAGACTGCGGACTTTGTGTACCCCTCTGATAAGTGTTAATTGGCACGGCTGCCACGGCCGAAAGCTATGAAATATACAATGCCATTTTAGAAAGTGGTCAAATGTAACATATGTTATATTTGGGATTACACTTTCCTAGTAAAGTACAGATTCTAGTACTGTTTGGGTTGAGTCCCATCCGGGAAGCCGCGGTGGCTGAGCGGTCTAGGCGTCTGACTTTGTGTGCTGGCGATTAGGTGCCTGACTCTGAGGGTGTGGGTTCGAATCCCGGATGGGACTCAACCCAAAAAGTACTAGAATCTGTACTTTACTAAGAAAGTGTAATCCCAAATATAACATACGTTACATCAGAGATGTGGTTAAAACTAGTGATTATAATGTTAGTAAACCCCGAAAACATGGATTCGATTGTCGACATAAATATTATGCATGGGGCCAATGTTTGGCTTCCCCTTGACACGACTAAAATATTGCTAAATGCGGCGGGACGTGGTTTAGTCGGGGTAGCCTAGTGGTTAAAACGTTCGCTCGTCACGCCGAGGACCCGGGTTCGATTCCCTACATGGGTACAGTGGGTGAAGCCCATATCTGGTGTCCCCGTTAAGATATTGCTGGAATATTGCTAAAAGCGGCGGAAAACTAAACTCACTTATTCTAAAAGGCGAGCGAGGGTTTTGCACCACTATATATTGTATATATCCATGTCAAAACAAGATATAGGAGATCTGAAAACGATGCCAATGGTGAAGGATTGTATATATATATATATATATTACTGAGATATTTGGATATTCAGGGAGTAATGGGAATTGGATAAGGGAATTACCTCGCAATACCGTGTGTCAGAAGGAAATATTCATGTTCAGTACACAGTCTTACAGGGAAACGCATTATACGCTGGTAACTTTAGTTAACCTCCTCCAGGAGACAGGGAAATAATTGCTCGCCGAATGCATCAAACGGTTTATTAATGTGGTATCGGAGCTGTGGGAGACAATGCCTAACTTCCCCGGGACACGGACCTGCGAGATGAGTGGACTTTATGAGTGGCTGGTGATTACAGGGAGCATTACAGTGCGATGGAAGATTACGAATGACACTAATAAAAGGCTAGGAAGGAAATGGGGGCACTTGATTAGTCGAGTGGCTCTTGTAGAGTCTAATGTAGAGACGTTCAGCAGGCGAGGTTGTGTAACAGGGAGAGGGGTGTTGTACTGAGGGTGTTGGAGGAGTTTGTGAGGAGGGTATATGTGGGGGGCTTCAGTCGGAGTGATGAGGTTGCCTTACGGAGAGGGTGGTGTTGAACTGAGGGTGTTGGAGGTGTCTGTGAGGGTGAGGTGTGTGTGTGTGTGTGTGTGGGGGAGGCGGTAGTAGCAGTGACGAGGTTGCCTTACAGAGAGGGTGGTGTTGAACTGAGGGTGTTGGAGGAGTCTGTGAGGGTGAGGTGAGAGGGGTGGGGTGGGGAGGGCTGAGAGAGCGTTAGTAGCAGTGACGAGGTTGCCTTACAGAGAGGGTGGTGGTGAACTGAGGGTGTTGAAGGAGTCTGTGAGGGTGAGGGTGTGTGTGTGTGGGGGAGCGTTAGTAGCAGTGATGAGGTTGCCTTACAGAGAGGGTGGTGTTGAACTGAGGGTGTTGAAGGAGTCTGTGAGGGTGAGGGTGTGTGTGTGTGGGGGGTAGCAGCGTTAGGAGCAGTGATGAGGTTGTCTAACAGGGGAGGGTGGTGTTAAACTGAGGGTGTTGGAGGTGTCTGTGAGGGTGAGTCTGTGAGGGGGGTGGGGTGTGGGGGGGGGGAGAGGAGCGTTAGTACCAGTGATGAGGTTATCTAACAGGGAGGGTGGTGTTGAAACTGAGGGTGTTGGAGGAGTCTGTGAGGGTGAGTGTGTGTGTGTGTGGGGGAGGGAGGGAGCGTTAGTAGCAGTGATGAGGTTGTCTTACAGGGAGGGTGGTGTTGAACTGAGGGTGTTGGAAGGAGTCTGTGAGGGTGAGTGTGTGTGGGGGAGGGGAGGGGAGGGAGCGTTAGTAGCAGTGATGACGTTGTCTTACAGAGAGGGTGGTGTTGAACTGAGGGTGTTGAAGGAGTCTGTGAGGGTGAGTGTGTGGGTGTGTGGGGAGGGGAGGGAGCGTTAGTAGCAGTGATGACGTTGTCTTACAGAGAGGGTGGTGTTGAACTGAGGGTGTTGAAGGAGTCTGTGAGGGTGAGTGTGTGGGTGTGGGGGAGGGAGGGAGCGTTAGTAGCAGTGATGAGGTTGTCTAACAGAGAGGGTGGTGTTGAACTGAGGGTGTTGGAGGTGTCTGTGAGGGTGAGTGTGTGTGTGTGTGTGGGTGTATGGGGGGACGGTAGTAGCAGTGACGAGGTTGCCTTACAGAGAGGGTGGTGTTGAACTGAGGGTGTTGAAGAAGTCTTTGAGGGTGAGTGTGTGTGGGTTGTGGGGGAAGGGGAGGGAGCGTTAGTAGCAGTGATGACGTTGTCTTACAGAGAGGGTGGTGTTGAACTGAGGGTGTTGAAGGAGTCTGTGAGGGTGAGTGTGTGGGTGTTGGGGAAGGGGAGGGAGCGTTAGTAGCAGTGATGAGGTTGTCTAACAGAGAGGGTGGTTTTTAACTGAAGGTGTTGAAGGAGTCTGTGAGGGTGAGTGTGTCGGTGTGGGGGGAGTGGAGGGAGCGTTAGTAGCAGTGATGACGTTGTCTTACAGAGAGGGTGGTGTTGAACTGAGAGTGTTGAAGGAGTCTGTGAGGGTGAGTGTGTGGGTGTGGGGGGAGGGGAGGGAGGGAGCGTTAGTAGCAGTGATGAGGTTGTCTAACAGAGAGGGTGGTGTTGAACTGAGGGTGTTGGAGGAGTCTGTGAGGGGTGTTGTTGTACTGGTTGTGTTTTAAGGGTCTTGCGAGGAGTGGTGTTGCAGCTGAGGTTGCTGAATGCATATTGTGGAACAGGGGATTTGTTTGTTCCTTTAACGCCGCTTTCAGCAATATTCAAGCTTTATGGCGGCGGTCTGTAAATAGTCTGGACCACACAATCCAGTGATCAAGAACATGAGCATCGAGCTACGCAATTGACACACGATGACATATGTCAACCAAGCCAGCGAGCCTGACCACCCGATCCCGTTAGTCGCCTCTTATGCCAAGCATGGGTTGCTAAAGTGGTGGAATACCGAGGGATGGTGAAGACAACTTCACCACATAGTGAAGTGGAATAGTGAGTGAGTGAGTTTAGTTTACGTCACACTCAGCAATATTCCAGCTATATGACGGCGGTCTGTAAGTAATCGAGTCTGAACCAGACAATCCAGTGATCAACAGCATGAGCATCGATCTGCGCAATTGGGAACCGATGACATGTGTCAACCAAGTCACCGAGCCTGACCACCCGATCCCGTTAGACGCCTCTTACGACAAGCATGGGTTACAGAGGGCCAATTCTAACGCGGATCTTCACGGGTCTTGTGGAATAGTGAAAGTGGTGAAATGCAAATGTTTTACAAAAGCATTTGAAGTCTAATACCGTTATCACCTCAGAAATCACTGACAGGTCATGACATTACGTCATTCTATTCAAGACCCGTGACGATCCGGGTTAGAAATGATCTTCAGTAACCCATGCTTGTCTTGAGAGGCGACTATCAGGGATCGAGTGGTCTTTGACTTGGTTGACACATGTCATTGTCCCAATTGCGTAGATAGATGTACTCATGCTGTTGATCACTAGGATTGTGTGGATCCAGATTCGATTATTTACAGACTGCCGCCATATAACTGGAATATTGCTGAGTGCGGTGTAAAACTAAACTCACTCGCTCACTCGCTCATGCTATTCAAACCGGGTTCATGTCATGTCATGGCCATTTTTTAATCACCAATACTATATTTTCAGGACGCTTCCACCTATCAATATATTTTTGGTAAAACTGTATTTCCTCTCTTCGTTGAACTGAAGGTGTTGGAGGAGTCTGTGAGGGTGAGTGTGTGGGGGTGAGATGGAAGGGGAGGGAGCGTTAGTAGCAGTGATGAGGTTGTCTAACAGGGAGGGTGGTGTTGAACTGAGGGTGTTGGAGGAGTCTGTGAGGGATGTTGTTGTACTGGTTGTGTTTGTAGGGTCCTGCGATGAGTAGTGTTGCAGCTGAGGGTGTAGGAGGGGTCTCTGAGAGTATGTGTGTGAGGTTTCAGTAAGGAGCCACGAGGAGATGTTTAGCAAGCGAGGTTTCTGAATGCATATTGTGGAACAAGGGATTTGTTTGTCCCTTTAAAGCCTCACTCAGCAATATTCTAGCTATATGTCGGCGGTCTGTAAATAGTCTGGACCACACAATCCAGTGATCAAGAACATGAGCATCGAGCTACGCAACTGACACACGATGACATATGTCAACCAAGCCAGTGAGCCTGACCACCCGATCCCGTTAGTCGCCTCTTATGCCAAGCATGGGTTGCTAAAGTGGTGGAATACCGAGGGATGGTGAAGACAACTTCACCACATAGTGAAGTGGAATAGTGAGTGGGTGAGTTTAGTTTTACGCCGCACTCATCAATATTCCAGCTACATGTATATGACGGCGGTCTGTAAGTAATCGAGTCTGGACCAGACAATCCAGTGAGCATCGATCTACGTAATTGGGAACCGATGACATGTATCAACCAAGTAAGCGAGCCTGACCACCCGATCCCGTTAGACGCCTCTTACGACAAGCATGGGTTACAGAAGGCCAATTCTAACGCGGATCTTCACGGGTCTTGTGGAATAGTGAAAGTGGTGAAATGCAAATGTTTTACAAAAGCATTTGAAGTCTAATACCGTTATCACCTCAGAAATCACTGACAGGTCATGACATTACGTCATTCTATTCAAGCCCCGTGACGATCCGGGTTAGAAATGATCTTCAGTAACCCATGCTTGTCTTGAGAGGCGACTATCAGGATCGAGTGGTCTTTGACTTGGTTGACACATGTCATTGTCCCAATTGCGAAGATAGATGCTCATGCTGTTGATCACTAGATTGTGTGGTCCAGATTCGATTATTTACAGACTGCCACCATATAACTGGAATATTGCTGAGTGCGGTGTAAAACTAAACTCACTCGCTCACTCGCTCATGCTATTCAAACCGGATTCATGTCATGTCATGGCCATTTTTTAATCACCAATACTATATTTTCAGGACGCTTCCACCTATCAATATATTTTTGGTAAAACTGTATTTCCTCTCTTCGTCCCTCAAACAAAACAAAATAAAAACCCGTAAACACCAACCAATTCATCCTCTCCTAGAATATCAAAGGAAAAAGAAAAACCCATCCGTTCCGGTCCCTCCTCTCCTAGAATAACCAAATAAAAACCATAAACGATTCCCCTAGAATATCAAAAATACTCGACTTTGTTACAGAATCAGTTAATATCTCAATGAACGTAACGGACGCCTGTAATATGCATGCACTAAATCGGAGCACGACTTAAATAACCCTACAATCGCAAATCCTGTGAATGAATATTTATAACGGTGAAGCTTTCACGATGATATTGTTGACAAAAAATCGGAAAACATCTTTACAATCCATAGTCAAATCAGTCTGCATGTCAAACACGATTATTCCGGATGAAGAATTTACATGAATTTCCAGAATAAACCATTCCTCCGAGAGACGGAATGGACAAACGGAACCCAGTTATTACATTTGTATTCATACATAACTTCCTTATAGCACCCAGCTGGCTCAGAGAAGATCGACATCGCCTTGGCCTGTGACACAAGTCGATTTTACAGAAAAAAACAAGACCCATTATTGTCTTTTTTTAAGCAACCTTCATTCTTAATTGACGTTAAATAGTAGTATGCACCACCCATTTTAATGTAACGGTATTTTCAAATTATAATTAGCAATATTTTAGAAGTTACTGAGTATGGTTTTATGTCACTTTTAGCAATATTCCAGCAAATTCACGGCAGGGAACACCAGAAATGGGCTTCACACATTTTACCCTTGAAGGGAATCGAACCCTGACGAGCGAGCGCTTTAACCACTAGACTACCCCCACCCGCTATCCCGACTATTGGATACCCGCAGAAGATCCAAATATTCGTTGTGTTAGTGCCAATGCTTTCGTTATAACCTAATTATCATTTGATTATTCTTTGACGGAAATTATGCTAATTGGGCATTAATGTTTCTTTTTGATATAACAATTTCCCCCTTCTGAGTCACTGCAGGCGTCGTGTTTTTACATCTGAACATTGATTCCGACGGCAACGGTTTTGAAACTTCCAACACAGAAACACACATTTTCTGCACATTTGACATGAGATGCCTTGAGTGTGAAATGCATTAAGGTAATGAAACTTAAGCCAGTAATAAGGAGTAATTGTACCTTAAAAGAAGGATATCCGTCACGGAATATGGCCAGATGAAAGGATTTGCCACTTCGAAGAGTGTGTCTTTACACACAAAAAATGACCTCTGTTCTTTAAACATTGAGCATGGAATGTGAGCTTCCATAGACTCCTTCTTGAACATCTCGATTGTGCTGCATTTCTTTTGATGTCCATGTCTTTAAAACAGTACAACCATTTGAAATTCTGTTTTTAACAGCGGGTTGAAAGTCAAAATGTAAATACTAGGCCTTGTCTGAAATTTGATTGATAGCTTCAGTCATAATGACAAGTAAGGCAACAAGTTAAGCAAGTTCTTTTGAACTGTGGTGATGATCAAAGACCATTCAGCTTTGTAATGATTCTAGATTTTGATTTATTCATCAGTTCTACATAACATTGTGTCTAGAGCATCCGATAACCAGAGAGGTATACCTTATAATGTGTCGTTCTGTGAATGTTTCCCAACCTGTTTCATGATACAGAAGGGGCGGTAGGGTAGCCCAGTAGTTAAAGCGTTCGCTCGTCACGCCGAAGACCCGGGTTCGATTCCTCACATGGGTACAATGTGTGAAGCCCATTTCTGGTGTCTCCAACCCCAGTATTGCTGGAATATTGCTAAAAGCGGCGTAAAACTGATGTCTGAACAGACGAACAGATGGTTGATACTATGAGCATCAATGTACACAAATAGGATATGGTGACGCGCGTAACCCAAATAAGGAATCCGATCCCTTTAGTCGCCTTTTACAAGCAACGCTTGCTGCAGATCATTTGTAACCCGGATCTTCATGGGAGACGGACATAATCCATCATTGGTGTCACATTTCGCCCAGAGAACAAACTACTGTTTCTGTTGAATATCAAAATGATAAACCAGATTTCCAGACGACGATGTCATGCAAATGTAACGGCCTTTAAGAAGTATGTCTGCAGCAGCAACCACGCACACGGCATCCGTATCGTCAGGAAATGACATTACGGCTGCAGCTGTCAGAGATCGCACGACAGCAGTAGCTCGGGTCACGGAATAGCTCGTATTTCGCGAAGCCTTCTCGGGAATTAAGAGCTTATTATGGAAATCATAAATGGCCCAACATTTATTGTTCATTCAGTATCGATCGCGTGGAAATGGCGAACATTCCGGTCAGGGGTGAATGTGTGGTTCAATGTTGTTTTAAGCCGCATTGAGCAATATTTAAGTCCTTTTCGGAGCCCTGCGACTATGGGCAAAGTGGAGAAAATGAGTGATAGCATGAGCAGAGGATACGTCATTAGGGCACGATGACGTACTGCCGGCTAGGTCACGCTTTGGAACATGAGGATATCCTGGTTGCTCCGACGTTAACGGGATGATGGGGTAGCCTAGTGGTTAAAGCGTTCGCTCGTCACGCCGAAGACCCGGGTTCGAATCCCCACATGGGTACAATATGTGAAGCCCTGGTGTCCCCGGCCGTGGCAGTGCTGAAATAATGCTAAAACTAGAACTCACTCACTGTGACGTTAACGATAGCGAAATATAGACTTTTAAGTATGCACAGGAATCTGCCCTGGTTGTAGATGAGGAAGGCTATACTCCAGCCTTTTTTAATACAAAGATTCTGAAGTATAGATCACCACATGAAGAAATATGATGTTATTCGACTCTGTCATTTTCAATCGGGATTTGAGGCAGATCATCGACGATTAAATACCGCTGGATGTCATTTATAGTCGATCGCATTAGCATGATCGATGGTTTAAATGTAGCGGGGTTTCCTTAATAAACAAACTCCAAATATTTGAAGAGAAAACGTTTGCCTCCATTATTCGCACGATGACTAACATGTTTTTGCTTCAAAGAAGAGTGACTGACTCTTTTTTCTTGCTAACGTATTCAGTGATGTAGTCAGAAGTTGTTATCACAAATTACCCACTTCAAATTTAGGAATATATACCAGTCAGATTAGAGCATCCTTCAGTGTCATGGCAGAATTTTACCATTTATCAGTTACCATGTCATACGTTACTGCATCCTCGTCAATTTCGTTTCCTTTTGTGAAAGTGGTTCACCAAAGTATCACCTCAAACGCTCTATCAATCCTATTTCAAGTAGTAAAGTGTTAGTTCAGCGTCATTAATACTGGACTTCTAAAATTTGGCATTTTATACCATATTTTCCTAAATTTATTCACATATATCTAGAGCGGATGGTTGTGTTGCAGGAAGGTTATGCGTCACTTTATTGTCCCTGACAAGAGCGCAAATTCAACAAACAGGCACATGATAAGAGAGGATGAGTGAGTGAGTGAGTTTAGTTTTACGCCGCACTTTGCAATATTCCAGCTATATGGCGGCGGTCTGTAAATAACCGAGTCTGGACCAGGCAATCCAGTGAGCATCGATCTATGCAACTGGGAACCGATGACATGTGTCAACAAAGTCATCGAGCCTGACCACCTGATCCCGTTAGTCGCCTCTTACGACAAGCATGGGTTACTGAAGATCAATATTCACGGGTTGCATAACGTATTAACAGAGCGGGGCGGTGGGGTAGCCTAGCGGTTATAGCGTTCCCTCGTTACGCTTTAAACCCGGGTTCGAATTCCAACATGGGTAAAGTGTGTGAAGACTATTTCTGTGTGTTATTGCTAGAATCTAAAGGCGACTTAAACTCGGATTCAATAACTCATCTATAGCTGAGCAAAACATTTAGAACTTGAAACGAAGCAGATACATCTATTTGAATAATGAACTAATTTGAACTTTGCGCATTTCAACTATTAAGTGCTTTAGGTTCAATAACCACGGAATTCTTAAGAAAT